CCACTGGGGTCGAGTCCGGTATGTATCCAGCCAGTTTATCTGGCGGGTTGACGATGACTTATACGGAAGTGATCATTTCCCTATTTCATTGTCACAGGCCGTAGACTTCCCGTCTACTTTGACAAGACTTTGAAGGAATTTTGAGAAGGCAGATTGGGACGGCTTTTGCAAAGAAGTCTGTCACCAAATGCCTGGCGATGACACGATACTGAGACCAGGTGACTGGACCCAAATCTTGAGTAAGGCCGCTCATCGTCACATCTCTAAGGCTGAACGTAGGGGAAGTATGAAAACTGTTCCTTGGTGGGGTACAGAAGTTCATACGGCGATTAGGACTAGACGTAAATGTCTAAGAGCACTGCGTTGGTTGCAGCTTGATGATCCTTCTAGGGCCGACAGATTGAGGGAGTTTCAGCTCGCTCGATCCAAATCTAGGAGTGTAATCAAAGCTGCAAAGCGGGATACATGGTCTGCTTTCACTGTCGACATATCGGAAACCACTAGCTCTGGTGAGCTATGGCGAAAGATAAAATCGGTCGGTAGTAAGAATAGACATGTTGAAAGGGTTATTAACTTGAATGGTGATTACACGAAAGACCCAGGACTGATCACTGAGGCCTTTGCTGAACAATTTGCTAAGGTGTCGGCAAACAGCAATCACAATGATGAATTCCTGCGTGTAAAGTCATTGGTTGAGGGGGAATATCGCTACTCTCGTGACAGGCCGAATAATCGTGTTAAAGACTATAACCAACAATCAATACGAAACTATCGATTTGAAATTGGCTCACTACTTGACTAGCCTATTGGTCCCAAGCAAATTGATTAACGCACCCCAATCATAGAGGTAACTCTAAGACCACTGGGTCCCGAAGAAAATCATTATTATTTTTGGCTCACTCAGTACCAGAACAACGGTCCCAAGCAGTCCCAAGCTATTTCACTCACCCCTGCATGTTCTGCATGAATCCACACACCCCTGATGTTATCTGTCAAACTTTCATAGCGAATCAAAACAAACATAGTGTAGTAATAGAATTTCAACTAGAATAGGGTACGTTAATCGTTTGCTTGGGACCAATAGGCTACTAAAGTCGTGAGCCAATTTAAAATCGTTAGTTTCGTATTGATTGTTGCCCCAATCTAGTCAAAATTCTAGTACTACACAATGTTTGTTTTGATTCGCTATGAAAGTTTGACAGATAAATTGAGGGGTTAGTGGAATTTCCTATGTTTCGAGGGGTGAATCGATAAGCTTTTAGCTGAGCCAAAAAGTTGAGCTCGTTTCTTCGGGACCTACTAGTCTTAGAGCAAATATATCAGATTAACAATATGATCCATTCATACCTTTTCCAAATGTTGCAATGCCGACCCGCAAAATATTGCTTCATGCACCATCTAGCGTTGAAAAAGGTCAGCTATAATCATTCAATTACAATCGAGGGGTGCAAATATAGCACTTATTACAAAAGTAAGAGTCAAATTATTTTCATTAATTACATTGTGTATATTGCTTTAAAATTTATCTGACATGTCACTGTTGTCATCAAATAAAATAAAATGCTGAAATACATTCATTGGAAATATTAAACAAATTTTCATTTGGTTTACCCCTCGTGACGATAAACAAATACATTGGTAGCCTTTTTGGCCACAGAGGTGCTTTCATCGCTAAGAATTCGGTTCGCCAGCTAAGCGAAAGAGTGGATCATATTGTTAATATAATATATTTGCTTAGAGTTACCTCTATGCTATAACAGGGTCTTCGAACTTGAAGAGCTTGCGCATCCCCTGTTTAGGAGATTACCTCTTATCGGCCGATTGGCTCTTCTTGACACAATGAATGAGTTCTGGCTTTCAGCCAGATACCTGATGAGTGGAAAGAAGGGTTGGTTATACCCATTCCCAAGCCTGGGAAGGATAGAACCCAAATGGATGGTAATCGACCGATAACCCTGCTGAGCTGCATGGGAAATCGTCGTCTTTCAACAGAGCTGGAGAGGCAAGGACGGCTCCACCCACAGCAACACGCATTTCGATGCGGCTATGGATCGGAGACGTTCTTCTCTGAGCTCGATCATTTATTGGACAAGGCCTCGTCGGAAGATTTGCATGTAGATGTAGTCTCCCTCGATTTGTCCAAGGCATATGATATGAAATGGAAGCTGCCTATCTTGACTTCCCTCAAGAAGTGGAACTTCTAGGGATGTATGTTTAACTAAGTAGAAAACATTCTACAGAACCATAGGTTCCGAGTTTTGAACGCTGGTGCAACCTCTAGCCCGAGGTTGCCGGAGAATGACATCCCGCAAGGGTCTGTCATCTTGGTTACACTGTTTCTGATTGCGATTAACTCAGTGTTTGAACGCAAATACGGTAGGGTGGTTAGGCATAAAATGCAGGATGCAGTTCAGTCTGTCGTTGACTGAACAGATAGTGTTGGGTTTGTGATTTTACCCGAGAAGTCCAAACTGTTGCACGTCTGCTTTGGTCATCATCACAGACCGAGTCTGCCATTCGTTAGCATTGGTGAGCATGCGGTCAAGGCCGTGCGCGAAATCAAACTGCTTGGTGTTACTATTGATAACAAACTCCGATTTGTTAAGCACGCCAAGTTGGTGAAGGTTAATGTCAACAGCAAGTTGAATATTCTTCGGACCTTAATTGGTCGCATCTCTGAAGCCTCTCGTTGTACATTGACCAAGATTGCTAGGGCTTTCGTTGTCCCTTGCATCCTTTACGGGGCGGAACGGTGGAGCAGGGGTGGTGTCTTACTGCTCAATATTCGGAAACCTCAGTACAATGAGGCGTACATAATTTGTAGTGGAGCGCTGAGGTCTTCACCAATAGCTTATGTAAATCATCTATTACTGGAGTGTCCGGCTCGAGCACAATTGAGGGAAGAAATGGGTGTCGTTGGTTCAATTCGTGAGGTATTGTACAACGACAGGAGTACAGATCAGACTGTACTCAATTTCTTGCGGGCGGTTGACTTATACGACTTGATATAAGCATATGTAGGTTGAAGTGGCATTAGAAAGAAAATGACTTGTATAGTCACCTCACTTCTTTTTGACAAGAGGGTAGTCATTAAAGCCCTAATGTTCTTAACAATGGTGTGTGAGGGTAAGCGACATTGGGGAGCTATTTGAAGCTCGGAAAGGAGATGCCTTATGCCATCTCGAATGAACTTAATTCTCCTCTACCAGGGGAACAGTTTAAAAAGATGTTAATAAATTTAAGCACAGCTTAAGCGCAAGATTATGTGTCACAATTTATTTCTCTATAGTTGGACAAATATTACAGCTACCGGGTGTCAACGATTATTAAAATTTCTAGCCTTTGAAAAAATATTGAGAGCTTGAAAATTTTCCTAGACCACTTTTTGACATTGGAAAACCATCAAGATCTCGAAGTAAAATATTCTATTGGGTCTAGAACTTCTTCGAAATCTCTGAAACTTTATGATTCCATCATTTGGACAGTTAACTTTTCCGTAAGTTCGCTACTCAGACTTTACACACGTCATGTTTTCAGTCTAATTATTTACTCTCAACATTGGTGGAAAAAAAGTGACTAATGATTTTCTAAAAAGTGACATGTCCTGACTGTGCACCGACAACAATTAACGGAAAACACAGTATGCTTAGTTTCCGGATAGATGTCACCGCAAACAACAGCAGTGGCAGCTGATGGAAAATGAATGCAGAAGCATTACAAAATGGTTAATTGCATGATATTCTATTCACAGCGTGATGTGCTTCCATCTCATACTTCAGCAGCAATCTAAATAGAGAGATGAATTCGTTACGTCACCTTCCACTTTTGCATACAAAACATCATTGCTCAATATTCCACCATCCAACTGCAGCCAGATGATGCATCCTCAGCCTGCCAACCAACCAGACATGCAGTCAGAATTCAAACAAAGAACCAGAAACGGTGTGCCCCAATGGAAACGAATGTACACGCAAAACAGATGTCTCTTACATCCAATGTAAGGTTGGATTTATTACATCCTCTACAAATGTTTCGTACAGCAAATGTAATGAAAATTCTTGCATTGGACAAGGAAGCTTTTCCAGAATGTATATTTTTGTTTAAAACCTTCATGAGGTGATTTTCTAGACGCAATCCATTTTAGTGAACAACCTTTGAATCTGTACAATTCATGCAAATCTGTAAAAGAATCTTACATTTCTCGGTTGGGTGCAGGTTTTGGTTTGATGGAAAACACCATTCTGCATTCGAAACGTGTGGAAATTAACCATTCACAACCACTTGAGCGAGAAACTCTGGAAACACCGTTGCTGGTGAATGTATGAATGACTTATCATATGACGCATAACAATGTGGATTTTCGCTACTCACTGTTTTCAAATATTGACAAACTTTCAACATCAACATTTTCCACCAAACCAAACTTTGTATTCTCAGTTTTCCACTGCAATACGGGCTAATTAGCGTTAATTACTAGCCCAATTAGCGATTCGCATTAAAGATAATTCCCATTTGAACGAACTAAAACACACAACTAATTCCAGCCCATTGCAACGAGAATAATGATCGCTTGTATTCACGTGTGATTTTAACGCATTTCAAATGAACTAAATCTTCCATTGAACACTCCAACCGCCGCCATCAATTCAGAACTCATTAACTTCAAGGTATGCAGTAGATTCCGACACGCTGATGGCGATGATGACGATGATGATGGTGATGCCGGTGGCGGCGACGCCTCGGCTGTTGCCATCACATCATCAAGCAGGCATCAAGGCAACCGGCTTCAGCATATCGAAATTTAAATTTACCGTAACCGGTACGGGGCTGATCGTCATCCTCGACGGCGACAAAAAGCGATGGAAAATGAGAAAAATAATAATAACCTTGCTTTGCCAAACAGGTAGCAGTCGACTTATTCATCACTTGAAATGTCGGTCATTACCGAGGCGGAAATTATGGGTTTTTCGATTCCTGGAAACGGTACTGTCGACACCTACCTCGGAGGGCGTTCCGGCGTCCGGCAATTTGATCGTTATATTTCGAAGGCTGGAAACTGGCCGGGATTTCGGTGACTCCGAAGGCCCTGGAGATTCGGAAGATCGCGCCGGAGCTGTACTGGTGGTGGACGCAGGGGAAGACGCCACAAGAGGAACGATCGTCGTCGGAGGTGTGCTCCGATCTTGATCGGAGATCAAACGCTGTGTCTCATCGAATTCCTCCTTCGATGCGTCAACGGCGTCTTCCAGGACGGCTGAGGGGACTTTGGGAAGTCCAAAAAAATCCGACTTGGCATTACTCATCATCAGCGTCGATCGTCGTGGATCGGTCGTGATTAGGATCTCGTCATCGAACTTAAACTGAATATCCGGTATTTGAATGGTCTTTGTGCCGGAGGATGATCCGGCGGTTATGTTGTCGTAGAAACTATGCGGACGCTCTTCTTCCGCTGGAGTCGTCAGCTCCGAGCTCGATCGCTTCCCCGAGGACATGATCGTTGGAGAAAGTGAAAACCGAACTCGAAAACACAACACAATCTAAACTTAGCGCATAGTGCAATCGCAATGCGATGCGGTACCGTTCCAATCACGCACTTCCTCGATTACTTTCTTCATTCATTGACAACATCAACCACTGTGCACGATCGCGCGATCACCGCGGTGCTCCTTTGTTCTTGAACAACCACGCTACTTGGTTTACCACAATCTACCCCTCTTCGTCAATCGCACTAATTGCTAACCAAAACACCACTCCCGTAGATCGTCGTACAGCTCTCAATCCGTCATCATCATCGTAGCGGGAACCGTAAATAAAGAGTCTATTGACTTCCGAATCCCCGCCACACACCGCGCCGTGCAGGGAGCTCCAACGTCCGTCGAAACGCAAATATAGGTTGGGGCCAACTATTAAAATGCCCAACCACACCAACACACTCTCAGTGGCCTATACTGCCAAACGGGTTCTTCCATCCACCGAATTCGGACACGCAGCGGTACCATCACACGGTCGCGAACTAACTCCCGGCTTACTATGCGCACTACCTGACTCGATCTCTGCTCACCGTCAACTGAAGCCAAAATTGAGCTCTTGCACGGCTGCTGAAGATCGTCTATCGATCGTTGGTCGTGTGACCATAGCGACAGAACATAATCAGGTTCTCCCTCTCAGAGAGGCAGAGTTTGAGGTTGATCAACAGGTAGAAATGAGCACGCTCTCTCTCTCTCTCTTCTTATTGTCTAAGCACGTGCTCTTTACTCCAAGGGGTAACTACTAGGAAAAGGCACCCAGCAAAAAGTAGTACACATGAAAATGTACCAAAATTAGATTCACATTTTGGGACCCCTTGGCAAAAAACGGTCTTCCTCTCTCGCTCTCTTCAACGTATGCGATCATAAATTGTCTACGAGCAGCCGCAAAACTTTCTTGCTTCTCTGGGTTAGAAGTGCTTGAAATATGTTTTATGTTGATGCTTTCCAGCAGCCCACATCATCGTTCGGGTCTGGCCGACCAACCGACACAGTTATGCACATTTTCATTTCAGCACCACTGAGTAGGTATACCGACTACAGGCAGCGTTCTGGAATCTAGAGAATAGGCCCGGAACCATTCCCCATCATGGAGCGAGTTTTTATAATTTCTGCCTGATGGTTTCAGTCGAATGATCACGATGGTTGACGGTGGCGTTGCGGTAGAAGGTTTTTTTTTCTTCTTCTTCGGGAATCAACATGGAGATGAGATTTTTATGGAAATTGGCAGATTATAAAAAAAAAATGCTGATGAGAACTGGATCAATGGCATTTCTTGATACTAAAGCAAATTTATTAGATTCAATCATTTTCGGAATTTAGCAAGCTTCCTGTTTTGCATGTCTGCTTGAGAGACGCTTCAAGTCAAATACATCGTGTCCCAAAAGTGCACGGTAATGCGTCCATTAGACTGATGCAAATTTTGATATTTTCGCTCCACAGTGCTCAATCGGTTTCAAATTAGCCTTCCGAAATTTGAACTCATTTGGTAAGAAACTGACTTGGCACAAATCATTTGAAGCTTATATGAAAATTACTATGGGAAATTGTCTTCTAGAAAATGCATCTAATTGCATGTCGGAGGTTTGGGCAGTGGAATCCGCGTGATTCAAGTGTGGAATTCGGGGTAATAAAATATGACTCGCGATTTTATTGTACTTAAATTAATTGGGTTTTATTTGTAACTGATCGATAGCAAAAACAAAGAGATAGAAAAGGGTTACCAACTCTGTGACATCGCACTATATGCCCTGTGGGAACAAGGCGGTTCAACACTCCTCCTCGATGTTCAGGGTTGGCCAGCTGCTTCACTCCGGAGGCCCAGCATTTCGGAAAACTTCCGAACCTTGACAGCTCCCAACGGTTTTGTCATTATGTCCGCGACCATGTTGTCCGTTTCGCGATACTTCAGGATAATCTCCCCTGATGATGAAAGCTCTCTGGTGAAGTGATACTTAGTATCTATGTGCTTGGAACGACGGTTCTGCTTCTCCAGAGTAGCGAAATCCAAACAGCTTTTGTTGTCTTCCCAAACGATGGTTGGACTATATTGTTCCTCGTTGAGCTCCTTCAACAGCCTACGTAGCCACACAGCTTCTTGTCCAGCCTCTGCCAACGCCACATATTCGGCTTCCATCGTTGAAGTAGACACGCATGATTGCTTGCGACTTCCCCAGCTCACAGCTGCACCGCCAAGAAGAAAGACGAAGTGTCACTTGCCCAATCGGCGTCGCAGAAACCCTCCAGCTTCAGGTTGCCAGCATCGAAGTACAATCTGTAGTCCACCGTTCCGCACAAGTACCTTACAATCCGCTTGAGTTCATTCCAATCCGCTTGCAAGGGGTTGTTGATCTTCCGGCTCAATGTTGACACTGATGCTGCTATATCAGGCCTGGTATTGGTGGCAATATACAGCAGCGATCCGATCAAACGATGATACTCGACGTTGTTCGCCAAGCTCTTCGACTCCTATCTGCTCTTGTAGTAGCCAGTATCCATCGGAATAGTCGACCGTTTCGCCTCCTCCAAATCGTAGACCTTGGCAATCTTCCGGATGAAAGATGCTTGGTTGATTGAGTAAACTCCATCCGCTCCTCGTTTCACACTGATCCCAAGAAAATGACGGATTACTCCCAAGGAAGTGATGTTGAACTTCTTCCGTAACTGCTCCTCAACCTTGCGGATCTCCTCCTGCAGACGACAAACGACGATCATGTCGTCCACGTATAAGAGCAGGTACATTCGCTCTCCATTCCTCAGATCCTTGATGAACAAGCAGGCATCCGAGGCAGACTGTTGGAAACCAATGCTAATGAGGAAATCCTTTATAGTATGGTTCCAAACCCGAGCGGCCTGCTTCAGGCTATAGATGCTCCGGTTTAGCTTGCAGACCCAGTCCTTCTTTCCGGGAACTTCGAAACCGGGTGGCTGAGTCATGAAAATCTCCTCCTTCAACTGGCCGTAGAGGTAAGCACACTTAACGTCAATATGCCTCACCTCCATCTTCTTGCTGCTCGCCATAGCCAGTAGTACCCGGAATGTTTGTTGCATCGCAACCGGCGCGAACACTTCCTCGAAGTCACGCCCGAATCGCTGAGAATAGCCTTGCGCTACAACCCTGGCCTTCAAGCGCACAACTTGACCATCCGAATACTCCTTCTTATTAAACACCCATCGACTACCAACGGGTTCGCGCCCCGCAGGAAGCTTCACCAATGCCCAGGTATCATTTTCTTCCAGGGAACACATCTCCTCCTTCATCGCTGTCAGCCATTTCTTCTTGTCAACGGAAGCCATCGCTTGCTCGTACGTCGTCGGTTCTTCACTGCAGTACGTAGCTAGGCTAACCTCACCTACTGCATAGTCGTTCAGCCGCTGCGGAAGAACACCCCGCGTGCTTCGTTGCGATCGGCACAGGCCACTAGCTTCTCCTCCTGTGGCTTCCCCGTCCGTATCTCCCGCTGAATCGCTTCCTCATCGGTTCGGCCGATCACGACTTCAACATCCTTTGAGCCGCAATCTCCTTCTGAACGGATCTCCGCTCCCAGTTCCAGAAAGTGAGCGTCTCTGCTAATAGTCACCCGTCGAGTCTCCAAATCGAGGAACCGATATGCCTCGGCTTGGCTACAGTAGCCAATGAAAATCATCTTCTTGGCCTTGCTCTCCAGCTTTCCCCTCTTCTCGCTTGGGATGTGGACATAAGCCTCGCATCCGAAAACTTTCAGATCCCGCATCACTGGCTTACGTCCGAACCAGCGTTCGAACGGCGTCCGGTTGACGGAACGGGATGGCAGCCGATTCTGGAGAAACGTCGCTGTCGACACTGCCTCACCTCAGAATTCCTTCAGAAGGTTGGCATCGATAAGCATACACAATGCCATTTCTTGGAGCTAACGATTTCTTCGTTCGGCTATCCCATTCTGCTGAGGGGAGTATGGGGTAGTGTACTCAGCTTTAATGCCTTCCTCAGCGAAAAAAACATCGGAGCTCGTTGTTTACGAACTCGCCACCGTTATCTGACCTTATCACCTTCGGTTTCCGGTCGAATTGGTTCTTAACCATATTCACAAATTCCTTGATCTTCCCAGGCACATCAGACTTATTTGCCAGAAGATAGACCGTAGCATATCGACTATAGTCGTCGATTAATGTGAGGAAGTATTTGTTTCCTCCTGGGGTGACGTGCTTGAACGGACCGCACACGTCCGAATGCACTAGCTCGAGTATTTCCGTTGCACGCCTCTGCGCTACCTTCGGGAACGACTGCCGATGCAGCTTGCTTTCAAGGCAACACTCGCACACCAGCTTTATCCCGCAATCAACCACCTTCATCTGGGTGCCGAGTTCCTTTTTGTTGATCAGGTCCACCACGTCGTAGTCCCTGTGGCCAAAACGACGATGCCACGTATGCTGGCAGAAATCGGTATGCCGAGCAGTAGCAGCAACCATATACCTCGCAGAACATCTCAACAAATACATCCCGTCGCACAGGTCGGCGACGGCCACCGTATGGCCCTTGGTATTTCGGATTCGACATCCATGTGAATCGAACACAACAGAAATATTCTTAGCTACTAGCTTACTTACTGACAACAGGCTACCTTCCAGCTCTGGAACGAACAGGACATCTTGTACCTTCACCTCTTGATCCTTTCCGTTGCCGTTCACGCACAGCAGCATCCCGTTGCCAACGCCTGCAGCAACTGTCTTCTTCCCGTTCGCAAGAGTAACATCGACATGCACGTCTTCCACCAGCTCCGAGAAAAAACTCCTGTCGCCTGTCATATGCTGCGACGCGCCGCTATCGACGAACCAGTAGCTCTTCAAACCGTTTGCAAAACAGCACTTCACCTCCTCTGCATCGGTGGTTCGACCTGCACTCGCCCAGAATAGTAGGGGTGCACCGTAATCCTGTGCTTGCTTCGCCTTTGGTCCATTGGAACTCCTGCTGCTTCCTGATGCTTGCTGCTTCTGGTTATCCGGCTCGCCTTTCAGTGAAGCCAGATACTTCCGGCAGTTCTTGCGATAATGGCCGGGCTTATTACAATGGAAGCAAACCTTTTCCGCAGACTTCGATTTCGCCATCGTCTTCAGTGCCTTGCTGTCATCGGAGCTGCGACCACGATTCATCCGCTTCTGGTATTCGTCTCGAAGTTTTGACTTCACCAGCTCCATCGTAATATCCTCGTCGGGACGACTCTCGAGCGCAGTCACCAGGCCATTGTACGTTTCCGGAAGGCTTCCCAAAACCATGGCCACTTTCATCTCCTGCTCGAGCTCCAAACCAGCCGCCTGCAACCGATCAAAAAGCTCCTCGACGTCCAGCATGTGTGATTCCATATCGCCTCCTTCGTGCAAATTCTTGTTGCATAACTTTTTGAGCAACGAAATCCGTGATGTCACAGTAGCCTTTTCGTGGTGCGTTTTCAACGCATTCCACATCGCACGCGCACTCGTTGCATTTTTGAGCAACCCTAGCTGATTGTCTTCGATGGTGAGACCGATGGTAGCTTTGGCCTTTTTATCCTCCTTCGTCCACTGCGCAGTGACGGGCTCGGGCTT